CCCCCCCTTCTCAGGTTGATCATTATTAGTTATTAGTAATTCACTTCTGACTCGACTCTATCAGAAATTACTCTGAAGAATTACCACGGACCATGCCATAACATCATTAAATAACAATTGTTTATGTCCAATAATCATTATTAGCCACTATCATTGTGGCTTGAACTCATGTATCATGAGTGTTTCTATTTGATTTAGTGTATTATGATTCATTATGTGCAATATTTTTGTCAAATCAATCAAATCCTTAGGTAGCTTATCAACGTGTGTACATGTTATGTATATAAACGTCATATATTCGCTTGTAATCGCAACATAATGTAACATAATGTGTATTCATAAGCAATATATTATGTTCATATGATACATAAACGTTCCCATCTTGATTAATTCTTAGTACATCTAGAGTAACGCTTTTAAATCTAGCTAAGTAATTGTTGATATTGTATTCATTTTTATTACATTTTTGTTTGCTGTGCAATTTTTCTCTACAGGAATTGGTTCCAATCTAGTGTTGAGAGATCCCTTCTCGCAGGAGTTCTATGTCTCTTCGCCAGTACTTCAAAACCAATGCAGCTGCCTCCTGGGTGAGGCCAGAGATTGACGATTCATCACAAGTTAATCACGGCGTTAAGTGGTTTATATATGAGACGATTGTGAATAGAGTTGGTGCAACGGAATTGTATAGAAAGATAACAATCAGTAATTTTCAACATGACCGACAGCTTCCTTTCATTTGCTTTCCCTTACTTTACCTTGCTTCACGTGATTGAGGGCCACCGCAGAGATTCATATCATTAGTGGACGACCTGTTAGTTGCGATATGATGTGAAGTGTTACGTACATGATGCAACATGAAACGATACGGCCTTGCGCAATTTGTTTTCACGCCGTAAAAAACCATTTTGTACTCCAGTGGGTATCGTCAGAAATACTCATATGCAGCCAGAGTCTGTCCAAATGGTAAACGCATGTAAAAGTGGTGTAGCTTGCCATGGGGGTTTTCGACGGTACATACCTTCGATGAATCAATGGTAGACGGTGCAATAGGCAGCATCGCTCCGGAAGCGAGAGATTGCAGCCACGAATGCATTGCTTCTGTTGTTTGAGCTGGACACGGCGCAGGTTAACTTTCTGGACGTAGCCTTGATGGAGACCACCACTGCTGGATTGTGATGAACGATACCACGGTGCCAAGCCTCTGCAGTGGGTGGCATTTTGGCAGGTTATGACTTTGCCCTGAACTTCCCTCAAGTTCGTAGCGTGGACATTGTCAAGCAAAGCTGTACACATCTTTAGACTTCTTTCAATTTTGGTGTATACTGAATTTGTCGGTCTCGTCGGCGAAGATGTGGTTTGCATACTCCCCTAAAGTTAAGAGAATCCCATCTGTGGAGGTTGCCACGGACTTTGCCCACAGCAGCCCTACTGACACCGATGGAAACAGTTTGGTGGATCTACAGAGGTTGCAAAGTGGAGATACCACAACACTTCTTGGAGAGGCGTAAGTCTTTGCGAAATGGCTCACATCAAAGGGAGAGACTAACCAAAGTCAGATTTGAAACTGTGTACATATTATGGTGCAACAACTGAAGTTGGATCAAGTTGGGAGGTGCTATTGTACAGCTTTTTGGCATCAGGAAACCATAATTATTTTCATTCTGAGCACTTGGAGTGATTCTTGATGGTATCATGTCAAAAAAATCTAACATGTTCCTTCGTTTGATTGAATGAGCAGGATTCCAAATGCGGCCTCAGCGTTCACGAAAGACCGTTCTCAAGGTTTCTTGGGAATTCCTAGCCCAAGGGCCAGAGGACCTGGCGCGTTCCTCAGCATGCTGCCTTTGCCGTTTTTTTTGTCAAATTGCTGCTAATTGGTTTTCCGAGCCGGGAATTACCACTGTGCGAGTTGGAATTTCTGGAGAAATTAGAATGTATCTGAAATTGGCATCAGCTTTATGTTTCTTGCGGCTTGCAACAGGCACATGTGAGAAATGCATGGCAGTGTTTGGATCACAATTACAGCTCTGGTCAGCTGCAAGTTCTTCCTGTCATGGTAGCATCGGAATTTGCAATATGTAACATTCTGACTTATGACATGTAAAATCGGAAACCTTTGAATGACTGCACCAAGTCACTAAGTTCTGACCATCGTAAGAACATAGACCCATCTAGTTTTGTTGCATAGCCAAATGTAATCACTTGCCAGCAAGGGAGTGATGGCGCCCGAGCAGGACAGTGAAATACAATGGACTACGCTTTGGGACCCACACTTGAATCCCCATACATCCGGAAGGCTCCGCCTGGATGTCGCACAGAAAAGCCTCACTGGAGGACGGGTTCTGGTGGTTGGCCGCGTGGAAGTCCGTAGTTGCAGATTCTATACGAAAGAAATCTTTGTCCTGAATTTCAAGCCTTTTGAATCCAACTCTCTCTGGGTTACAACCAGAGAGGATTCCAATTGCCGGAAGGTTTTTGCAATGCAAGCCGATCACTGGGAGAATAACATTTTTCTCGCTGGAAGGGGCACATTGTCGAAGTGGTCGAGTCTTGTTCTCATGCATGTCGATGCTAACGGAGAAATGACACAGATGACATTAAATGGAACCACGAAAGCAGACATCGTCATGAGACTGACCGGGTCAGATGCTTTGGTCGCCGGTACTGCTGATGAAGGTCCAACAGCCGGCCTATATGTCCAGAGGGTGAAAGAAAGACCAGGATGGCATTCGGAGTGGCAGGGCATCGCCCAATGGGCGTTGTTTAACCAAGGCAATTTGTGGAAGGTATGCGCCATGCACATTGATGATGGCGGCAACAGCATTCTGTATGGTCTTCTCCATTCGCATCACGAATATGATTCCAGATACTTGGACCAAATTCTCCTTGCGAGCTTTGATTCTTCTGGCCGTTCTCGCTGGAGTGCAAAAGAAAGGCCAGGGGTGGGGCAGGTCCTCCAATGCGGTGCAATGCAAGTTTTTCAAGGTAAGGCCTTCATTGCTGGAGAGTTTGTTCGATCGGGATCGGTTCCTCCAAGAGAAGACATTTTCCTGATGCATTTCGGAAATTCAACCATGCTATGGGTGCAGAGAGAGGGTGGCGACAATTTACAGCACCATTTCAAAGCGATGCATGTGGATGCTGTCGGCCAAGCCTTGGTGGCAGGCACACAGACACGGAGTGCCACCCTTGCTGCTCCCAGTCAAGCAGGTATTTTTCTTATGAAATTTTCCAACCATGGTGATTTGATATGGAAAGAGTACCAGGAGACGCAGACGTCTCAAACCATGACTGCCATGTGGATTCACAATGCTACTGACATTGCTTTGGCTGGCTTTGCATTACAGAACTTGTCCAAGACAGCACATTTGCGCGTGCTACAGGCCCAGGGCGGTGCGGCGTGCTACACTGACAGAAGATTGGAGTACGACCATTTCTTACCTGTTCTATTTCTCTTCAGGGAGAAGTCTCGTGGGTGGGCACAGTGGCAGGGGAAGAGCGTTGGACCCATCAGGGATGTTCGTACGCAAGAGGATTCGAATGGAAAGTTCAGCTTGGTTGGTATTACACCTGATGCGACTGTCTCTATCCTGAGTTTTGACGCTGCCAAAGCAGCAGCGAGCATCACAAGTACATCGACAAACACGCACATTGCAACATTTGCGCTGATGATCGGTCTGGCAGCAGGTGCCCTCATGCTCTTCGTGATTGTGATCTCAGTGTGGTTTCGCTGCAAGCCGAAAGGAGGCGGCTGCATGGTAAACGTTTTTACCAGGGTAGGTCAAGAGGATGAAATCAAGGGCCACGACACAGACTCAGAACCAGAGTCACGCACGTCTGACTCCGAGACTGGTGGCTAGGCTACAAGCAGTTTCAGGACTTATCGACGAATTTATCAACTCAGTAAATAATACTAAACAACACTATTGTAACCATATTCGCTCGGTTTCAGATAAGTTTCTTTGCAGTTTGGGATTGGGCTTGGGCCCCTGGGCCCCTCTAAAACAGAATGTGCATTACCCTGTTACACCCGTATGACCTCCTGGCTTCTGGCCCCATGGTGTCTGTGTGTGTGTGTGTGTATGTGTCAATGTGTTGAGAGCATTTCCACCCAACCTTTCCAAAGCAGGTCAGCCAGAGTCAGCAGGTTTAGCTACTGAACAATCCGGGTTTGCTCCAGAGAGTAAAGCCACATGATATTTCAAAATATGTCAAACCGATTAAAAGCAGCGCCTCATGATTTGGTGCTGGGGCTAAGGACAGGCTTCATCATCATCAGATTCTGACAACAACAGAGGACGGACTGTTCCTTTCAATTCAGTTGTTGCATTCTAGGTCATCCCAGGTTGTTTAGAAAGTTTGGGTTTGGCTGATATGACGTGGTGGTTAACGTTAAGATAGCCAGACTCCACAAAACGGCATTATACGGCCAATGATTTTGAACAAGCCACAGCTGGTGTAGTGAAGTAGGACTCTAAGTTCAGACAGCTTCTGTTCTGAAGCGATCTGCAACTCCTCTTTTCAACTACTTTGTTTCTTTTGGTGGAATCATTTGTCTTGTCTTTTTCCATATGCTGGTATTCGCATAATCATGTGTGCACCTGCACAGTGACCCCATGCCTTGGCCAGGAAGTGACATTCCCTTTTGGAGAAGGGCTTGGGACGCAATTTCTTCATCGGTCCGCAAGTCAGCTACAGGTACTGGTAGCTCGATTCCGATGGGTTTGCAGATCAGCAGGGCTTGCGATGAAATTTGCAAACAGGGCTGCGAACAGAATAACGGCCCTCAAAATATGCTGTTGCAAGATTGGTGTGCCAAGGCAAGGTCAGAAAATGCCGACCCAGTACTGAAACAGAGTGTTTTTGGACTCATGACTGCAACCGAGATTGCCACATTCCTCATGGCAGCTGAGAATAGACTGTGGCGTCAGATCATAGATAAGACTGAGGATTTTTTTTATCTGCTGGATCGGACGCCTTCTCCAGAGTTGGGGGCTCATGAAATGGTTGGTCCAGCCATGAATGAGAGAGTCAGGAATTTGAAGCCATGTGTCATGGACCAAACAGTTCGTGAGCCTGCGACGAACACACCTTTTGGACACACAGGGTACATGAAGTATTTGACGCTCAAGATCGTTCAAAGGATGGGGTTCAAAGACATCGCGATTAGTGGCCAATACTATGGCGATTCCTACACACCAGAGACCCAGATCTTGGAGGAAATGGAGGCGAGGAAAGAAAAAATGACAGGTATGATCGTGATGTTTGCTCCGAACAAAGAAGATCGCAAGGCTGGTGTGGAAAGCATCAAGCGCTTCAACGTGCCCAATGCGTTTTTGGACCTCACCTTCAAGGCGAGTGTTCGCTTTGCCGAGGCCAACTTTGTGCAGTCAGTTCTAGAAGCGGTCGAAGAATTGGATGAAGTTTTTAACAAGATGAAGTTGCCTCGGGATCCTTGGCGCCCTGACCCTGAAGTCAACACAAAAGGTGGACAAGGTGAAATCTCATTGAACTTGGTAGACATCATGGAATTTCTTGATCTAAAGCCCAATGGGGAGATGATCGCTGGCCACAAGCAGCGAATGGAGGAAGCCTTTTCAACCTGGAAGAGAAGTGAAGTTTTTCGGCGCCGGGTAGTGGCAATTCTATTTGAAGAAGGGCGTGGCTTGGCAGGCTATCAAGACTATGGGCTTGTGACCAAGTTCCTGCGCGAGCATTTCCCTGAAAAGGAGAAATACCGCATCCTGGTTCATGCCCACGCTGGCAGTCAAAACCAAGATGTTGCAAGTGTGGAGGCTGTGCAGAGAGGTGCGAATGGTGTTTGGGCAGCCCTAATTCCACAAGCTGCTCAGCTAGGCCACAACTCGTCAATGGTGTTCCTTGACAACATGCTTAGTTTGGGCAACCGTCATGTGATGGTAGATTTCTGGTTGCATCAAGCGCGTGAGTGCGCACGCCATTGCTACTATCTCAACTTCAACACCTACCGTATCCCGGATGACTGTCCAATCTGGGGTCGTAGGGGTGATCAACTCACCCACACGGCATTTAGACGTCATGAAGGTGGAGATGATTGGCGGAAAAGGCGAAACAACTATTATGATGTCTGGGAACATGATCAGAGGAAGCAACTCCAGCCCAGATCAGATATTCAAGGAGAAGTGGAGGTTGAGAGGTTGAATCGTTCTGAAGCTGGCCCTAACAACTTTCGGATCTCTCCACTTGTGTCAGACAAAGAGACATGGAGGCAACGGATTGCTGAACTCAAGGTACTCAGACCGCAAGAACGGGTGGGGGATTGGGTAGATGATATCAGGGCCCTGGGCTTTGCTCTGATGAATGCAAACATCCGTGCAAACTTGAACGAGAAGGCGACCTTGCAAAGCCTTGCACAAATTGCCCGCCGAAACCGCGACGAGTCAATTCCATGTAGGCAGATCAATCCATATTTGAAGACAAATCATCAAGGAATTGGCGAATGAGGCCTTCACTGTTTCCTGGTATATATATATTTCACGTGCGAAGAGGATGAAGAGGAGGCTTCCGGCAAAGTCTGCAAAAAGAAATAGACCACGCGCCAGCTGTTTGAGCACCACACATCTTCGATCTGAAAAACAGAAACCGTGGCATAGGATTAGTCTCAGCTGAAGGTGGGAGTTATCATGGCCGCCTCCACGAAGTTCTTGGACTTCTTTGAGAATCGAAGGCCCAATTGACAGCAATTGACTGGGATAGTGCCAGTTCATCAGTATGCAAGATGTACATCATGGGGGGAAGCAGATTCTGCATTTCTGTTGTGGTGATCAATTTCTGAATTGCTTGTAGGATTTTGTGGCATGTAGGCACCATCTTCACACTGAAATCGCAGATGTAAAGCCCAAGCGCTCAAGGAGAGATGAGACAAACAATCTTACTGGCACTATTTAATTACTTGTGACAGGTGGCAATTTCAACACATATATATATATATATAAACTGTATATATATATATGGGAAGAAGTAGAGGGAGGTTATCCATAGCTTGACTACTGCGTACCGGACTGAGATTAGAGTTGGATATGCGTGATTATTCGCGGTCAAAATATCTCGCGCGAAACCGTCATAGTCGGCCCATGTTGGTCCGCTATACGCAACTTTAGACGTACTTGACACGTGAACAAATCGAACACGCATCAATCTGTTTTGCATTCGGACCTTTTTTTTCTCTACACTGAGTGGAGTGTCACACTTAGGTTTCTTCTACATTTTGACCCCGCCGCGCCAAAGACTTGGCAAAGTGCTCTATGATAAGCCTGCCTTGCTGTAATAGTTATTCAGCAAATGATTCTGCTTAATTTGTGAAATGTTTTTTCATGACCACTGGACACTCCTCAGGGAAATCGCAACGCCAACTTGCCAGGCTTCTAACATCTATCGCTTCGGGCGCAGCTGCTTGGCTTGGCTTGGTGTTACTGAAGTTAACAGAGAACTTACAGGCTTTCAGAAGCTTGAGATTCACAGAATTTGTTGGAAAACAACGAAAATAACAATTATGTAAATTGCTTGCAAATCAAAACACCGTAATTATTTTGCAGCTAAAGACTCTTGAGACTCCAACTCCTGCAGGTAAGTTCGCAACAGTGCCAAGTGCCGGAGGATGCCCCTTTTCCTGACCTGATTTCTGTGAGCAAAGCGGATCCAAAATCGGGCTGCTGGAAAGTGAAGAGGTTTTTGCTTTTTGCGAGACATGTGGCCTCATGAGTTGGTAACTAGCCAAACTACCCAGGAGCTTCTCAGTTTGAAGTTTTCAGATTTTGCCGCGGTGTTTTCACTCAAGTTCAGTCCCTGTCTACTGAACCGGAGCTGAGAGAGACCCATGCCATGGAGATGGGGTATAGTGTAGATGGATGGCTAGATAGATTTGATACGGCAAGTTGATTGAAGGCAAACACATGCCTATTGGCCTATTTGACGATTTATTTGTTTTCAATTATAGGATAGGGGTGTTTTCCGTAGTTCAATTGGTGGAAGGAACGGTTTTTTCTTTTTGCAGAAGCATCATGAAGAGCTTCAAACCTGGACATGAGGAGTACATTTTAGAAAAGCTCTGGAACTGCTGCCATTTGCGCAGACTTTCCCTGAACGATAGGCAGGTAGTCTTTTCAGTATCAGTATATATATATTATACATATATATATATATGATAGGTTACAAGGTAACTTGGCATTAAACTGGTTCTGGGTTTCATGGTGCGTTTGGTGATCCAAGCCATCAGAGCCCGTCTCAACACATGCTCTGACCAAAACAGGTCTTTGTTTACCTTTATTAGGGTAAGGTCTTACATATGAACGATCTCTGAATGTTTGGAAATTCTCCCCAAAGGTTCTATCCACCAAAGCGTGTGTTTGTGGGAAGGGACTGCTACGGTTGATATAAACATGTGTTTCTTTGGCCACATCCTGTCCTTCCAAACTGGTCGCAGGAACGAGTGAAGTCGAAGCGTCGCGTCCAGGGACCCTCGATGCTGTGGAATCATCCCAGCTTGGGTCGACCACACTGGACTCGATCTTCATGAGGTGTGCCTGGGATCTGGATGGACGACCCCAACGGGTGATTTTGACGACCACAATGGGTTATAGACTTCATAGGATAATTCCTTCCACCGAATCCAATCCCAGACCCCACTCCTCGAAAGTTGTTTTTGATGTTTTGTATGTCCACTGGACATGGCCATAATCCTATACACACCGCAGAACTCATGTTGGTTGTTTCTGCGGCAGAGGAGTTGTAGGATCCCATCTTCGGATTTCGGCATGGATGGAAGCGCCACAGAGCTGTTCTATGCCTTACACTATCGGGGTTTTGGGAAGGTGAAGGAAGTTGCACCACAGCAGCTCTACGCCATGAAGATTATGAAGCCCCCGTCACGTTCAATGATGAAAGCAGAGGGAAAGGCTCACCCAGGGCACAAAAAATTGATGTTGAACTTGAAGACTGAGACAAGAAAAGTGGATGAATGCATAGACACCCTCAACGTTTAAACTTTGTTTAATTGGCAGAAACGGCTAGTAGTTCTCCTCACTAATCCAAGGGCACCACAAGTCAGTTGTTTCTTCTTCTTCTTCACTGGTTTGGTCAGTCGTTTCGTTTTCTTCTTCTTGTTATCAACGGACTGGTCAGCTGTTTTTTGTTCTTGTAAACGGCCCGTGTTTGTCTTGCTTATCAAAGCGACCCCTCTTGCTTGGCTCGGCTGGAGGTGGAGGTGGTCGAAGGACATGGATTTGCTTCCCAACATCTGCATTTTGATGCTCCCAACACACATAGAACAGCCCAAACAAACTGGAGCGCTTCGCAATTTAGATGCAAGAGAATGTGGCAACTAGCTCCCTGTTGAGGGCTGGAACTGCCCAGTGACTAGTTGCTAGCTGCCAATACAAGATGAACCCCAGTTGACCTCCATTCAGGTTGAACAGCAGAGCAGACACTTGACATAGAGATCATAGAGCCAGTTTTGGAGGAGAATTATTTGCAAGGTCGTGATACGTGCCAGTTGTGCTTGGGATGACCCATTCCTTGCTACACGCATCGCTTCTCGAAGAGAATTTATCCTCCACAAGACCACATAGATCACACAGGACATAAATATAGATGAGCATAGATGATATAGGACAACACATTGGTGCATATAAACATAGGACATAAACATAGCATAGGATAACAACACATTGGTGCAAAATCTACACCACCTTCCAGGTCTTTCAATGCATCGAGACTCATCCATTCTGCAATTCCGCAAATAGGAACTCATCTCAAAAAGGGGGCCACCTTCGCCCGTTACAGAAGTTGATTTGGATATCCATTTGTGCCTCAGGTCTGATTGAGCTGGATGTGAAGAAGTGACAATTGATTTGCATCTGCAAGCAAGAAGAGCCAAGAACTGGAGACCTGACAGCAATGGAAGTATCGTTTTGCCTCTACAAGAAGGTGAACAAAATGAATGCAAAGCTGTTGAAAGAGCTCAAACCTCAATTCGACAGAACCATGAGTCAATGAAAGAACGAGCCCAACAAGTTCTGGCCAATGGCTTGTAGATGCATACACTCTGTGCAGCCACCTGCCGCCGTTGGGCGGTGATAATTGGGCTCGCTTGGAAAACCCAACGAGTGCTCAGTACATTGCTCCTGTGAAACTTGGAAGAAAATGTGGGCGAGCTCCACACACGGACTGAAGAGCAGGGGCTGTGGAGCATTGGAAGGGATAGAGAAAAGGAGCTAATTCCGAGGCCCGCGGCTTCGGAGATGACTAGGGGAACAGAGGATGTTGAGAAGGGACTTGAGAGAAGAGTTGCCAAACAGAAGCTGGGTAGAATGTTTGAGGAGCGCGAGCTGCAGAGAAGGAGAGAAGGAAGAGGTGAGCAAAGACGATCCAGAAGAGATGGATGAGACATGGCTGGTGGGAAAGAAGGGGAAGTGTGAGGAAGGTTGCGAAGAACTTGGGCTGGAGAGAAGTATCTCGGGATATCTGGGCTGCGCAGCAGGGATTGGAAAGAGTGGGAGGAGGGGGGGTGCTGGTCTCACTTGGGTGTTTTGCCTTATTGTTGGCTTTGCTCGCGAAGAGACAGACTGTGGGGAGGAGACACTTCACGCGATCGGCTTCTTACAGGGCTGAGTGGGACGGACTGTTTGACAGGCAAAACTTTAAAGGCTTTGTGCTTTGCTCCCGGTTGCAGAGCTGCGTTGCAAAACGAAAGTGTTTGATGCAGGCATATCAGACATCTCATTGAAAAAAACCTGATTTTGATGTGGGTTCACGGGAAAGCAAACAGGGCGGGATCCGAAATGCCATAGGCCAACAGATCACCTTCTTGGTGTGACCACAGTTTCTGACCGCAAGCTTGAGAGCTTCGTGCGAAGGCACGCCTCGTTCCCTTGCGCACCACATTTTTCTTGGCTCAAGGAGCCTTGGCTCGCCGGTCACCTCGCCTCGCCCCCGGATCGCGTCGCGTCGCGGCGTGCCTGGTCGTCGGCGCTCCATGGAGAACGACATCAACAACACCCTCGCCTTCGACCTTGCCCTGCAGTTTGTGCCAACGCGGACCGGCCCGGTAGAAGACGCGGTGGCGCAGGCGATGGAGAGAAGCATTCTGTGCCTTGGCGAGAGAAAGAATGACAGTTCTAGGGCAATTGGATGGCATGGCAGCATGGGAATTTGACAGTCTTGTTGCTAGGTTGCACTGACTTCGTGGCTGGTTGTAGGTTGTATCTGTAGCCATGATACATGAATCTAGCACTAGAGACTGAAACTTGGCAAACTTAAGTTTAGTTCAGTCCTTTGGCCCCGGCAGAATCAGTGCAGAAGGCAAGCAGTTGTGATTCTGCTGCTTTTGGCAGATGGACTGCTTTGCACAACTTGTCAGCTTGTCCATGCTTGTCCCCCAATGCCTCGCAGCGAGGCATGTGGCAGTGATGGTTTGTATGTACTTGCCACTTGGCTTGCAAGCGGTGGCAAAAAATAACAGCAGGGAAGCAAAGAAGACACCGACTTGGCTGATTCAACTGCCGCCATGCTTTGCTCAGTGACAAATGTTCGGTTTCGCGGTATCCCACATTTTGCGGTTCCTAAGGCAGGTATTTTTGAACCATTTTACATTTTTGATAGGATCGGCGCAGATGTTGGTTGAGGTTGGCACATGTTTAAGCCAGTCCTCGGAAGGCCATAGACCGACGTAAAGGCAAGAGGAATGTTGTAGACGTGATCGCTTTGGACCAGAAACGATGGCATGTGGGCATGTTGGGCATGTGTGTGAGCAAGGATCACCACTGCTTTGGGGACCTTGATGCTATTCTGTGCTGGCAAAGCCAAAGCAGTACCAAAGCGAAAGAGAACATCAAGGAAAGACAGCCTGTCATCGAAAACGAGCGAGGATGAGATGGCGGTGCGCGTAGAGGAGGAGGTGCCAGTATCTGGGTAGCAGAGCTTCTAACCAGTTTACAGCAAGAGGAACCACTTTGAGAGTTCTTGTTTGAAGGGAATATATAACTGTATTGATTTCGTGATGTGTGCACACAGCTTGGTGCTCTTCCAAGCTCACAAGGCAAGCCTGCAAACAACTGTTTTGCTTCAATCTCCCATTTGTGCCACAGCCAGCACCAAGGACCCCGACGACGAAGCTAAAGAACCTGACCTTCTACAACTACCCATCAGCTTGCAGTACCAGAAAGCCTTTGTGGTGGGCGTGTATTGCTGCAATTTTCTCTTGTGCCTGGCGGTGCCTCAGTTGGTGGAATGGCGTGCGTGACCCGTGGCCTTTTTGAATGCGTGAAAATGCGTGCGGGAACCGGACTAAAGTATGGTCTTAATTGTCAATCGATCTTTTTTCGCAGCATCACCTAGCATCAACACGACCTGACTCACAGTTGACTTGAACTGAAAAAAGGGCCGTTCCGCCACAAAACTGTGACTCCGGCTATGACCGAAACAGAGAGGAAGTTCGAAACGCTCAGGCAGGCGTCGGCAGCACGTTGACGGGGCTATTGAGCCCGGAGCTCGGGCTAGCTTGGGAATTCTACACGGTGCATTTTGCATGTGGATGTCTTTGGATGCTTGCGCAGGCAGGTAGACCTAGGAGTGACGGATTTCCTGACCTTTATGCCATGTGGCTTGAATCTCCATTTTGCAGTATCCGATTTGCACCTTCAATTTCACCATCCATGAGGTATACGGGTATACGCAGCATTTTTGTGTGCCTTCAGGGCCACTGGGCCTGGGGAGAGCTCAGTTCACAGACGCAGAGGGGCCAATATAAGCGTCCAGCCACCCATCCAAAAAGTATCCAAAGATAAGATTTGCTCGAAAGCGAGAGGGTTCTACTGGGCATTTGAGCATTAAGAGCACACAAATATACATAATATAAGTAGAGCTGTCCGAATTCATCGAGAGAGCTTGGAGACCTTGACAGTATGCTGATCCACGCTAATGGACGCTATAGCCTCTAAGCAAAGCTTGTGATGCGAAGCAACATCTAACTATTGGCTATACCAGCAACATGTACATTGATGTTAATTGCTCGCCAATTTGGAGAAGACAACGTTTATGTTCTCTTCATCCGCCAAGTTGGCTTGTGCACATGCGAACCACGCTGCACAGCCATGTATAGTGTCAGAGATGTAGTGTTTGAAAAGTACTCGCCATAAACGCTACACACGGGGTTTCCAAGTTGAGACGCCACACACGGAACCGCCAGGCTGCCCTTGCGGCGTACATGTTGCCGCCTGGAAGACGCTATGCAAACACTGCCTTCTTGGAAGCGACCTTCCTTGGTATTTGCCCTGTAACCTCAGATGCCTTTGATACGTTGTGGCTTGTCGCTTTGATTCAGGCAACCTCTTTTGAAGGTCCCCTCCTGTAACCTCCCATACAAGGGATGTTCCGATTCAGAAAAAGGCGCTAACTGTTGAAGGACTATGACGCAGACGAGGAAAGACGTGAGCTTCGGGTTCCTTTGCTTCGCTGCCGACAACCTCATTGTGAATGCGGTCGGCTTGATATCACTGCTTTGGCTGCTCATGTACCTCGGGTCTGATGGAGGACAACACGTTAGCTTGTTTGTAATCAAAATGATGTTAGCCTGTAAAACAATATCATTTTTTTTGCATTGCCGGCGTAAAGACGGCAACCGACATGGGGCTCAAACAAGCCGGCCAGCCACATTGTAAAACGATGGTTGGTGTACCAACTCACCACGGGTGTGTTGCTGTGGGCATAGCCGCTTAGCCTTCGCAACACGCAGCGCCCGGCCCTGTACCGTTCACACATTCCTTCGCATACAGTTGCTTCAGATCCTGCTTTGTTGCCAGACTGTACCAGATTATCAGTATACTTGATAGTCTTTAATATGAAGAGTAAACTGCTTGAATATGTTCAATACTTCAGAAGGATGATGGTTCGTGTCAGGCTTTCCTTTTGTGTTCCATGCAGGATAGCGTTAAGAATCTGATGCATCCACCTTTGCTTTCCCATTCAAGTTTTCCTGATTAGTTTAAAGGACTATTAACTTGGTACAGGGTGGAATCTCCTCCACTGGATCTGACTTGAGAATCATGAAACAGTTGTATTGGGCAAGGGTTGCAGGTCATGCCAAAAGTCCGTTCAAGAGAGCTGCCTGTGCATATATGACGTTGGAGCTTGTGGAAATCACCGGGAAATCCTCACACTTGCCCTGTTCATGCTGTTGCAGCGGAGGTTTCACGCAATTCTCTTCCGGGACCAAGCTTTCCGCCAGTGGTTCGCCGAGAACCACGTCTCAGTGTTGCTTGTCATTGTTTCTAGCGTTGTACTTTTTTGGCAGCTAGGCTAGATTTGCTGGTCATTAGTATGACATCATATGAATGCCCTGCCAGATTGGCTTTGCGAACGCTGCCGGCCGATGCCGATGATTCGCCAAACCCTTTAAAGGCAACGGACAAGTTGGGCGCAAAAAACATGTTCAGTGTGTGCTTTGCGAATCTCAAGTTTTGGTATCTTCACCAACTTTAGTCCCACCACTTAGCCAGGATTTTGCAGCCATAATTACCATCTGTCAAAGAAAAAGACTGGATGTTGCATCGGATTTTTCATGTAGATTGTATCTATTTTGGTCTGCAGGTTCTGATACAAGAGTTTCATATTTTGTGTAGCTGCTACTCCACGCAACTTCGCTCATGTTTCCGAAAGCATACCTGTACCTGGTCCTTGGATTCTCACCTATACACTAACTGCCGTGTACAGCGATGATTTGGAGTTGACGCTTCTGTCCCCTGATGTTGGTGCAGAGATGGTGGAAGCCATTTGTACCCTTGTTGGACCGGTATGTGGAAGGGTTGGTGGGGGCTGGGATAGAGCAGGAACACAGAGACAGCTTCCGTGATTTTGGGCATAATGTTGACCTCATAATAATTAATTGCCCTCAACTAATACTAATTTTTTCTGGACCCTGATTTTCAGCTGCTTCCAGACCTTGATTCATCCAAGCTGATTCTGAGCTTTCAACTGATTCCATAATCTGATTATTTGGTGGTTTCCTTTGCAATTCTGTTAGATTTCCTTTTGGTTGAAAAGCTTTAGCTTTATTGAAGGGCATCCTTTCTGGATTTCTGATTTGGCTGCTGCATTTTCCATTTAAACTTGCTGATTTGGGCATTGCCATTTGTAACCTGAAATCAACCCACAAAGACCACCCCTCACGAGCAGCCCAAACCTTCAATTACTCCAGACCTCAAACAATACTAAACAATCCCTGGCTGGTTCTTTTGGCGATTTTCGTTACAATGCCTTTAGATATTCCTTTTGGTTGAAAAGCTTTAGCTTTACTTAAGGCAATCCTTTCTGGATTTCTGATTTGGCTGCTGCATTTTCCTTTTAACATTGCTTATTTGGGCATTGCAATTTGCAACCTGAAATCAACCCACAAAGACCACCCCCACAAGCAGCTCAAACCTTCAATTACTCCAGACCTCAAATAATACTAAACAATCCCTGGCTGGTCCTTTTCGGGGTTTCCTTTACAATTCCTTTAGGTTTCCGTTTGGTTGAACAGTTTTAGCTTCATTGAGGGCTATGGTTATTTAGGTTCAGCCTCTTTACAATTCCTTTGGCACTACTTACATTGATTCCTGTCATTTCCTTTCCTTTCATTGTCCTTTCAATTTCCTTTCCTTTCCTTTCCTTTTCCTTTCATTTCCTTTCCCTTCCTTTAATTTCCTTTTCTCTCCTTTCATGTCCAATTCAAATCAATATTTTCTAGGATTTTTTCTGGATTTTACATTATTTAGGGCCCGCACTTGATCAAGAGGGAGGGGTGGGTTTATTAATAGGAGGTGGACATTATGTTTCAAAATCCATGAGCTGTGGCAGTCTCATTGAATCCATATGTTTGTGTAAGGGTGAAGCTTTGAATCAAGATAGCGCCTCACACACGGAGGCACTGTCGCGTTGTGTCTTGCTTTACCAATCAGCCAACATGTTTCTTCCGCGTTGTGGATTTTAGGCCTTGGCTGACTTTGTTGATGCCTGATCTTGCAAGATCACACACTTCACTGTTTCTGCATGTCCCTGCCGCCTGTCAGATCCCATATTCAGAAAACTGGCCAGATGAAGTGGCAAAGATGATGGCGGACAAAAAGCCCACTTCGTACTTTCTCTGCACAAAAGCTGGCAAGACGATCCCATTTGTTGCCGACGGTGCGCCGGGAGAGCTGACCAAAACCACCCGAGTCGACGATGCCGACTTTCCTATTGAACTTGTGTGCCAGGCGAGGCAGCGCGTGACAGAATCGAGCCTGTGTTGATGGGTCGGAAGGTCTCGGTTACATGACCAAATCGGCTCCATGTTTCTTCCATGTTAAGGTTTTTTGGGCCCTGGCTGACTTTGTTGATGCCTGATCTTGCAAGATTACAAACTTCACGGTTCCTGCAAGTTGCAGCAGCCTGTCAGGTCCAATACTCAGATCATTTGGCAGCTGACGTGAAAGAATTCATGGCGGACAAAAGTCCCACTTCGTACTATCTCTGCACGCGAAATGGCAAGAGGATCCCATTCGTTGCCGACAGTGAGCCGGTAAAGCTGACCAGAGAGCCCAATGTCGACGAGTTTCCTGTGGTCTTCGTCTACCAGGCGAGGCAGTGTGTGAGAGAGAAATCTCACAGGTTTATTGACAGGTTGGAAAGCCTTCACGTGCAGAGGACTGTTATTCTTCCTGCCCTGCCTTTGTTTGTTTTTCATTTTTTCGTCTTAATTGAAGGTTCTTTGCGCCCTGGTCAGATTCTTGGTCGGAGGTGTTCTGTGTATTCTTGGGGGGGGAGGAGCTGCGTCCTCCACCTCCAACCCCTTCGTGCGTGAGGCAAGAAGATCCATTTTCTTGCTTGCGGCGCCTTTAAGCGTGACACCTTCCATGAGTTTTCTTTCATTTTCTTTTCCTTCCTTCCTACCAGGAACTCTCGACCGATCCTTTTGGAAGGAATGCAAGGAATGCTGGGAGGGTGGAGGAATGCTGGGCGGTCTTGAACATTTAAGCCCCGGGAGGGCGGTGGGAAAAGAGGCTGGCAGCAAGTTCACTGGCTTTTCCAGGGGTTCACACCCATCGTGGAAGAGCGCTTCTTTCATGAGCACTGAATTGAATCACATGTTGGATCATGGGGCCAATCATGGGGTCTGGAACAATGATGCAACGAGTTCATGGAGGGTAGAAGGGTAGATGCTCACGATGGGGTTGGCGAAGAAGACACACAGCTGCATGGAAGACAACCTGTGGCAACGTGGCAACGAAAACACACGCTCTTCATTGCTCTTCCTCGTTTAGCTTTAGGCTTTGGGTGTGATATGAACTTTCTTGATCTTGCAAAGGGTCCTGCAAATACCTGCTGTCCCAAGTTCATTTGATCACACTTTATACTTTGCACGAGAGGGTCAAGCCTCAAAAAGACACCTTCGATTGAGGCACCTCTCTTCTTCTTGGAATGTGCTGAGTTGTCGGAATCTGTCCCAGATCATTCGACGACGGCGTCGTCGCAAAAGTCACACCGTTGGAGAACAAACCGTTCTTTTCTCATACCTTGTACCTATTAAAGCGTTTGGATGCGATTGATGTTCTCATGGCGCCAAAACATTTTGAGACCCTGCCCCAAATGCGACAAACAAATACAAACAACACTGCGGAGTCGGTCATGGAGGAATGGTGCAGATGTCTAACGAGTTCGATCCAGGCTGCATTCCCCTCACATATTGCACAAAAGTGCAAACAGTGAATTTGTTCATGAACTGACCCTCATGTGATCTTGTCGCCTGCTGTGACTAAAGCGTGTGGGTGCATAAACGTCTTTTTTGTTTGGTGACCACTGATCACAACTATATAGTTATATAGTGATGACTAGTCAGGTACTTTGGCATGAGTTCGCAGTTCCGAAAGAACTTCTGATTTCTGCTGCAGGTTTCTTGGATGGAATGGGCCGCGGGCTTGCATCTTGACATTTAATTCAGGATCTTAAAAAAAATTGTTCCCCACATCTTTGTGTCCAGTTCTTACTGTTATCTCTGTCCCGTCTTCCGCAGTCCGCCCCGCCCACTCTCACTCTCACTCAGTGTCACTCACTCACTTAGTACTGACTCACTCACTCACTCACTCACTCCCTCCCTCCCTCCCTCCCTCCCTCCTTCCCTCACACTCACACTCACACTCACACTCACACTCACACTCACACTCAC